CTCTCGCCAGCTGAAACTTCCAGTGAACGCTCCACCACTGGGTATCCTTTTTTTTCTTCTTCTTTTTTGTTTGATAGCGGTTCCCCCCTCGCACAGTACCTTCCACCACCTCTCACCAACAACATCCGTTGAAGAAAGCGGACAACAAGTCCCTACTCCAACCGCCGCTCAATTGCTCGCCAGTGCTCTGATACCAACTGTTATGTACCCAATTGAACATCAATCCACAACGAATTCACACATTCCCATACACGCATGCAATTGCAGAGTAGACTCGAAGGAGGCAAATCCACACAAAACCGGAGAGAAGATATGCACAGCGGAAGCTCAAAATAAACAGAGAGTTGAAAAACGAATTTCAATTCTGCAATCCCTCGTCCTCCTCCAATCAATTCAGAGTAGTTGTTCTAAGAATCACAACCGCGTTTACAACAACCCCGAACAACCAGAAACAAGTGTTCAACGAAGTATGCAGGAGCCTTCTTCTTCCTCCTCGCCACCTCGTACCCCTGGCTATGGCTGCCGTAGCAGCAGTAACCCCACGGCTGTCACAATGCGCCAATCTGAACCAGCAACCCTAATGATAACAGCGCCAGCTCAGCACCCCCACGGAAGTGCAGCACTGGAAGTCCTGATGAAGAAGGAGACAACCGATCCAGCACTTCGAAGAAGACGAAGTTCCTCGAGAGGAGGAACAGCAGATATGGCTGCCAAGTGGGTGGAAACTTACAACACACACACACACACACACTCACACACACACACACACACACACACACACACACACACACACACACACACACACACACACACACACACACACANACACACACACACACACACTCACACACACACACACACACACACACACACACACACACACACACACACACACACACACACACACACACACACAAACAGTCCAGCCTCTAGCCAGGACACTGGGAGGATGGCCCCTGACAAGCATACGTCGTGTCAGGAAAGTCACTGCCGCTTTGAAGTCAGTGGTATTGTTACATATATATTCGAATCTCGTTAGTTGTCCCGTGAGCACACCTGCAGGCTGATGTGCCGGAGCGTTGGAGGAAGCACTGGGATAACGTATGACAGGGAATGCCCAATTTGTATACAGCGGCTGGAACGACAATGCCTCTATAATTGCGGTCGACGTGCCTCCGTGTTCCTAGCATGTACGAGCCACGTAGCCTGTGACATCTGTCTGCGCCGTGCCATTCGATGCAGCAACTGTGACTGCGAAAATTGGATGTGGTGCTTCCATAGCCCACACCCGAACCAGTCCTGTCCGGTCTGTAGGGGTGGCCACTCGCCGTAATTTATTTATTTATTTTTTATTATTATTATTTTTTTTTTTGCTAAAGTAGTCTATTTCAGCGGTGAATATTTAGAAATCTGTGAAGCCCATCATACACCTCTCCTCTGCTCCTTGCATGTCATACTCTTTCCTTCCCATTGCCCCTACCTCCCCTGCCCCATACTCCTATAGAACTCCGCCTTCTATCCCTTACCCTCCACCCTCCCCTCCACTCCCTTTGTACTACTAACAAATACATACGAATGAGCATTATTAAGAGAACAGACGATATGAAGATCAGAAATGAAATGAATGGAAGTATGAAGATGAAGGACGGAAGCGACTTTTTTTTTCTCGCAAGCGCCGAAGGTTAGCGCTAACGCAGACCAGCGTCCGGGGACTCCCGGCAGCTCTACCGCAGCGATTCGCGCCGGGCACGTCGTTCACACGGAAACTCGACCAGCATTCGAATTCCGTCTGCTTCTGGTAGCGAAGCAGGGAAAGTTCAGCCACGCCCTCGGGCGTGGCGGGAGATAGCCATATCCACCGGAAACTGCCATCATGGTATGCACCGCAATCACCCACACCGGACAAGTCCCAAACACCAACTCGACAAGGGAAAGGGGAGCACTCGAAAGGGCGCATAATTTCGCGAGCGAGGCCAAGAAGAGGAGGTGGTGAAAAAAGGAAACAAGAAGGAAGAAGGGACAAGGACGAATAATGAGAGAAGAGAAGAGAGGAAGGAGTGGGGCCTGAAAACAACAAGTAGGCTATTTCAGACAAGCAAAGATGGAGAACAACGCAGACAGTTCGTGAAATCATGGGGTCCAGAAGAGCCAGAAGGTCACAGCGAGCGCCAGCGTCCCCAACAACAACCAAACAAGGAAGACGACAAGGGGAAGAGAACGGAGGACAAGAGGAATTGAAGAAGGCGAATGAAGAGTCGACGAGAGTCATTAAAGTAATCGGAGCGCTTCTTATCACCATCGGGCGGTGCGAATTCACCACACCCCCCGAACGGCAGCGACAAACAACCGAATCTGATCGAGAGACACGCTCAAGTTCAGGCATTTATTTCGTCCAATTTCTACCAGTCTCCTTCCCCGACACCGTGGTTGTAGCTCTCGCCTAAAGCACTCTCGTTACTGAATTACTAAACTCACGGCCCCCATACTAATCCAATCTGGAACACCAACTGCCCTCTCTCCCACCCCTGGCCTGCCTCAAACCCTTCCCCATTACATCGATCCCACCAACACCTCATACCCTGCTTCGATACCACACCCCGTTTCCACCCCGATCCCACCAAATACCCCGTCCCCACCCTATTACGGTCCAAGACCCAACCTGAATCCGATACATCCATGATCGCGGCCCACCGCCATACACCACCCCCCCACATCGCCCTTTCCGATCCCCGTACTACCCGTTTCTTAACTCCCTCCCCACCCCGTTATCAGCATAATCGACTTCCCTGCCCCACCCCGGTCCCGACCTCTCATCCTCACTCCGCCCCGGGCCTACCCAGACCCCGTCTCTATTCTCGACCTGTCCAGCTCCCAAGCCGACCTCGACCGCAGAATCGTCCAAGGCCCAGCCCCGAGCCCATCCTACGCCCGATCTGTCACACATACTGGTCGGACGTCCAACCCATGACTACCCTGATCTGCGCCCACTTCTACGCTAACCTCGTACCTCCCCCAACTGCGTTCCCCGCTTCCTACTGACCCACGAATCATTCCCTGCCGAATCATTCCCTGCCCGTTCCCGTAACAGCCCTTCCTAACTATAAACCACGTTGATTCCACGCTGTCCCCAACTCACGCCCCACCACTGCCCCGTTTCCTACCTCCTTCACAATATCATTATTATTATCGTTATTATTATCGTTATTATTATCATTATTATTATCATTATTGTTATTATTATCATTATTATTATTATTATTACCATTATTATTTTTAACTTTATTATCATTATTATTACTATTATCACTATTATTATTACTACTATTATTTCATTTTTGACCACTAAGCAGATTCTCCCCCGCTCCCGTTCCCACCCCCGTTCCGTTTCTATCCCGGTTCCAGTCCCCACCCCCGTTCTTGTCCCAATCCCAGACTTCGACCCTGTAGCCGATCCCAATCCTACCTCCAACCCAGACTACACCTCCATTCCTAGCCCACTCCTATCCCCACCCCATCCCTTGTTCGAGTTCGGGAGAGTCTCAAAAGCTCTCTTTACCCCCCACCCCATCAACATCCCCAGCTCATCGTGTTCGGTGGAATCCCGTAGCGTCTGGATACTATCTTCCGGACCTGGCCTCCCACACCCCAGTTCCCACCCCCGATCTGTTCCTAACCCTGTTCCAATCCCCACCCCAGTTTCTGTCCCCAACCCCGATCCCGACCCTGTACCCGATCCCGGTTTTACCCCCGACTCAGAATCCACCCCCGACATTAGTCCAGTCCTACCCCCTCCCCAATCCCTTGGTCAAGATACTAGCTTCCGGATTTCGCCGCCCCCGCTCCAGTCCACACCCCCGTTCACGTCCTATCCCCGCCCCAGTCCTCACCCCCGTTTCTGTCCCCATCACC